ATTTACATTTACATTTAGTCATTTTGCCGACGCTTTTATCCAAAGCGACTTACAATTGGGGAATACATAAAGCGATTCTTCTTAAAGACACAGACACTTAAACAGACACAGGAAGTGCTTGAAATACCAAGTTTTAGGCATTGTTCAAATAAGTACAAGCTAGAAAAGGGAAGGAATAAATAAAGAGAGACTTTTTTTTTTTTAAGATGAAGTCAAGTAGCGTTTAAAGAAATGAGTTTTCAGCTGTCACTTGAAAATTGTCAGGGATTCAGCATTCCGGATAGGGGTGGAAAGATCATTCCACCAGCCAGGAACGGTGAACGAGAATGTTCTGGAAAGTGATATTTACACTTAAGTGATATTTAAAAGTGATATTTACACTTAAAATAAATGTGGAAACATTTTCTCTGAACACATAAAATGGAATAAAGACTATATATATATAATGTAAATCCATCCAATGTAAATACTGTAAATTATTTAATGCATTATAGACAATAAAACACCAGGTTATTTCCAAACATTCTGTCATGCAGAACAATTTTTTAATCTTATAAGGCACAAAAGCATCAAAAAATGGAAACCATTTGGAAAGCAAAATGGAAAAGATTTCACTATATCAAAAACAATATACAACATAGATGCTATAAACAGTGAAGCCATCCCCTTGAATTTATAAGTTTGCATACATCTCTACCAGCAAAAACAATCATATCAAAGCAGCTGAAAGCAGTGACAGCAAGAAATACTTCATTTATATGATGCATTTCTTCAGTCTTGCCATATTCACTCACATAATATACTCTGAATCCTTGATAGGGCACAAAACAAAAAAACATGACCGACAGGAAAACAACGTTTTTCAGTTGTGCCCAGAACTCTTGACGTTGACATGTGGCCTTTCCAAATGTCTTACTCACGTTGAGTAGAAAATAAACTTGGAAAAATGCTAGCACACTCCAAACCAGTATTACTAGTATACAAATAACATAGTTTAATGTCTTCACACTAGGCTGCATGAGAGCCTGACCGAAATGAAAGCACTGAGTTGAATCATTCTGCGTCATTCCGTAGTTAGAAATAGTTACTGGGAACATAGAGCCAAATATGATCAGCCAGACGGTTGCGCTTGCAATCGTGGCGTGAAGGATGCGATGAAACTCTAGCTTGTGCCGCTGATTAGAGTGCTCCACATAACGCACAATTAGAAGGAAGGCATAGAAGATGAATGCAAGATACATGTGGGCATGGATCATAAGACTGACAATTTTGCAGAAATACATGCCCAGAATCCAGTCTTTATCAGAAGCATAATAGTAAATGCGAAAAGGCAGCGTGAGAAGGAAAATGGAGTGCACTGCTATCAGGTTGATCACAGACACTTTGGTGAAAGAGAGATGACTTTGAGACTGTAGCATACAGGACATTAGTACAACATTCAGAGTCCCAGAGAGAAAGATGAATATGTATAAGACCAGAAGAGCAATTCTGAAGTCCTCCGGCAGGCCAGTTTGGTTTGCAGTGTTGTTTATGATCATGCCTGACACTTTGGAGAAAAACATTTTTGTTTTTACTTGCTCTCAAAAATGAATAGAGAGAGAGAGAGAGTGAGTTATACAGTATTATACAGTATGTATATTCAATGCTATTACAAAACAGTGTCTAAGAAATGACTTTTAGATTTAAGATGAAACATAAATATGAAACATAAACTCACATTTTCCCCAAACTCTTTTCCTGGTAAAATGTTTTGGCCCTGAAAAATGCCATATAGATTAATCACATTTCTTCTTTTGAATGTTTATCTAAATTGATGCTTCAACTTAAAAAAAAAAAAGAGCTTGACGATTTCTCCTATCTTCTGGGGTGTTTTAAATGTGCTGAACTTGATGTTTCTTTCAAATTATGTAATATTAGCAGAAGCAGAAGTTTCAAAACACTTCCCTAATGCTTCTAAACACCTTTCGATATTAAAGGAAGATGCAAAAGAGAAAAATAAGGAATAAATACATACATACATACATACGTACATACCAAATCTATGTAACTGGCTGTTTTAGTCAGGACAACCTGCAAATGTATTTGTAAAGATGTTTTTTTGTTGTTGTTGTTTTTTATGTAAGATGCTAACAACAGGGTTCTTCTGAAAAATAATACTGAAACAACTATTTTAAACTATTTTCTCCTTATACAGAGTTTGGCATGAGAAAATGATTGCAGATACTTACCAATTTACGAGTAGTATCAATCATACAGTGAATGTCAATATTCCTTCAGCAACAGCATGCAGACAGTTTGATGTAACTGAGACAGTTCATCCATTTGCTGTTGGTGCCAAGAGAGCTGAAGATGAATGTGATGTCAGCTTGTCAGTTCATGTGTAAATCTTCTGTCAGTGTCAAACGGCCAGCCTCCAGAGGCTTTAGGAAACACCTCCTGACTGTTATTTGTCATAGTAAAGATTAAAGATTTACAAATCTCATGCACAAGGAAGTTAGTGAGTTTTACCACGTCAAAGTTTTCCTTCTCAATCTGGCCTTCCTGCTCTCTTTCTCTCACTATCTTTCTATTACATAATCCTTTGTGTTTTAAATAGTCTTATTCTTGTCTTTTGCTAGCTGATCATGAAAGGTCACAGTATATTCTCATAAGACTATGTTATTTTCACAATATCCTAGTGAAACTAGGCAGTATAATAATGGTGGGTACGCCCAATGGAAGTACACTCCAATTAATGTTTTGCAGTAAGATGTATGCAGTGTATAGGCTATTAAATATTTCATTTGTCAAGGAAACAAATCATTTAAAAAAATAATTCAAAAAAATTATTGTACTGTTAAAAACAAGGTAAGAGGAAATTTAAAAAAAATTCTGAGTCAGGTTTTTTTTACAGTGTCTGTTGAGACAACAATTGGAAAATCCCATTAAAATCTATCTATCTATCTGTCTATCTATCTGTCTATCTATCTGTCTGTCTGTCTGTCGGTCTGTCTATCTATCTATCGTATTACAGTACTTGTGGTCACCTTTATATTTCATGTTTTTTTAGAGGAGGAAATCTCACTCTAATTGCATTTTTCTAAAAAAAAATTTTTGTGTGTGTACTCCATTGTACTGCTCATATACACACAGCTGATTTGTCACCTATCAATTATTTTAAATGGTTATGTATATTTTCCTAGGTTATTCATATATTTAGGTTATTTAGGTTAAAAACCTGCAGCAAGTTTCCAGAATCTACAAGGAATGCATTCACGCTGAGTTAACAGTAGATCAGTGCATTAAACCGATTAGCTGTGGATTAGTTTGTTCAATTTCTAATCCACACCAATGCACTGTGGCTCACGCTAAACAATGCACTTTTCAGTCTTTCAGTGCAGTATCTGCAAACAACTCCAGAGGGAAGTCATGTGTTGTCTTTAGAGCATCTTTGCATTCAGCAAGATATCCAACATATACACTCTGAGGTAGGTTTATAATTTCTGTCTTTTGATGTAAACTTACAATTGACATAAGTAACATTTCTCACAACTTTTATTTATTGCTGCAACAGTAATTTATATTTGTGACCCTGGACCACAAAACCAGTCTTAAGTCGCTTGGGTATATTTTTAGCAATAGCAAAAAAAAAAGAAAAAAAAAAACATTGTATGGGTCAAAATTATCGATTTTTCTTTTATGCCAAAAATCATTAGGATATTAAGTAAAGATCATGTTCCATGAAGATATTTTGTAAATTTCCTACCGTAAATATATCAAAACTTAATTTTTGATTAGTAATATGCATTGCTAAGAACTTCATTTGGACAACTTTAAAGGCGATTTTCTCAGTATTTAGATTTTTTTGCACCCTCAGATTCCAGATTTTCAAATAGTTGTATCTCGGCCAAATGTTGTCTTATCCTAACAAACCATACATCAATGGAAAGCTTATTTATTCAGCTTTCAGATGATGCATAAATCTCAATTGCGGGAAATTGACCCTTATTTTTTTCCAACTGGTCCAGGATCACATTTTAGTTTTTAGTTCAGACATTTTATATCATGAGTATTGTACATACTAGCAGATAGTTTAAATCTGCCACTGTTTATAAACTGTTTTTTTTTCCATTGATTTATTTACTCGTTCTCTTATTTTTGTTTTATACTTGTTCACCATGGACTTTATAACGGAATAATCCAGTTGTTTTGTTTCAATGTGTACCTTGTAAAAGGCCTGGCCCATTTGTTGTATCTCTTTTGTTAAGAAATGCTTGTTAAAGGAAGATCGCCTTAAAATGTAAATTCTGTAATTTGTGCACTGTTCCTTTAACTTACATTTATGATGCGTTTGCACAGAGAAATGTTTGGTGGCCAGTGGTCATCTAGCGCACGACTCGATGGCAAAACAGTCATTATAACTGGAGCAAATACTGGCATTGGAAAAGAAACCACAAGAGACCTGGCAAAACGCGGTATCACATTTATCTTATTCTTGTGTGCCGTTACGAGTCTTAGTAATGTAAATCAGATTCTAGAAACGAACTAAAACTAAAAAAAACATTAAATGTATGTTACACAAATTGATTTAGGATACCAATTATAAAAGTCATGGTTTTTGGAGTTGTTTCACAGGTGCCAGGATAATAATGGCTTGCAGAGACCTTGAGAAAGCAGAAGGAGCACAGAAAGAGATCATGGAGGACTCAGGGAACCAAAACATAGTGATCAGGAAACTAGATTTATCTGACACCAAGTCAATCAGAGAATTTGCTGAGGTAATCAACAAAGGTAAGTGATTAATATAAGAGTTTTACACCAAAATCTGACTGTGTATTTGATCTAACAAAACAAAAATAAAGCAATTCACTCAAAAATACCAATGTGTCTCCTACAGTAGACCAAAATAATTATTAAAACCCTCTTGTTTTCAGAGGAAAGAGCTATTCACATACTCATTAACAATGCTGGGGTCATGATGTGTCCCTACTCTAAGACAGCAGATGGTTTTGAGATGCAGTTTGGTGTCAACCACTTAGGTAAAGTGTTTTTCCTGTTCATTCAAATGCAATGTGTCATAGACCTCTTCTTTAATGCCTCTCTTAACATATAATGCATATGTTACCAATAATATTCCTTTGCACATCTTTACCTTTGACTTGCTGCATGTTTAATGGTGCAGACTTACTGTATATGAAGTGTGCTGTAGAACAATTACTTACACTTGTATGTCAATTAGGTCATTTCCTGTTAACCTTCCTGCTGATTGATCTGCTGAAGAGATCTGCCCCCTCAAGAATCATCAACCTTTCCTCCATGGCTCATAGTTGGGGCACAATAGCACTTGATGATATCAATAGTGAGAGGAATTACCACAGTAGAAGGGCATATGGTCAGAGTAAATTGGCCAATATCCTTTACACTCGTTCCTTGGCCAAAAAACTCAAGGGTAAGTGATCTTAAAAATTCTGGAAGATTAAATAAATGGGAAAATTAATGGGTACTTGTGCCAAGGGAGTACTTTTTGATCTATCGTGAATTGTATCTTCAGACACAGGTGTTACAGCATATGCAGTCCATCCAGGAATTGTGCGGACAGACCTTAAAAGACATATGAATCTCGGACTTCTAATCATGTGGAAGGTTGTCAGACCTTTCACAAAGACCCCAGTGCAGGGAGCACAAACTACCATCTACTGCGCAGTGCAACCAGAATTAGACCAAGAGAGTGGTGGCTACTACAGGTATTGAATTGTGTCATACTGCATTAAATACAGTTGCAGAGGCAACAGATATAAACTGACTGGATCCCATAATGGATTTTTGTTTTGTTTGTTTTTTCTGTCTTTCCCATTTTCTACAGCAACTGCAGACCTTCAAGATGCACCAGAGCTGCTAGAGATGATGAAATGGCTGAGAAACTTTGGGAGCTCAGCTGCAAAATGCTGGGAATAGTCTGGGACTGAACGCAGTGTTTTCCATAAACAATTCAGTATATCCATTTTTATTTACTATTATTATTGTTATTTACAATTAATTCCAACATGAACACCCAAGGAAAAATGCCATGACACAAACTAGTATCAACAAATATTTCTTTCTCAGTAGGTTGTTTTTATTTTAAAGTTAGAGGTCAAACAATATTTCCAGTTAGAATAAAGAACATTTTTTCCCCCATTCATAGACCTCCATTTGCATTATCAAATCCATTTGCATTATCAAATGGTCTAGACTCTGATATAATTACATTATACGGTGAGCATGTAACAATTATACACTGGACTTAAAGTCAATAGCTGTTTGACCTTCCACAGGTAATATTTCCTTAAACCCCGCACTGTTTAACAACAGTTTTTTGAGAACTAAGCTAATTTGTCCAGATCCAGGAGCCTCTTAGAACAAGCCCTGCCTATATCCATTTATTTATTGATTCTGTCAATATCTTTAACAGAATCAGTACTTTAGTGTTTGTTCAATCTCTTTTCAGTATGTTTTGGTGATTTCTCAGACTTTTTTTTTTTTTGTAAAATGTAATAATTTCATTATAAAATTAATCTATACAGTTTAATAAAATTGATCCTTTGTAGAGGTGATGCAATTTTATTTGATATTAGCACAATAAAAAGAATCACATTTAATGTGATAATGATGACAGCTGCCTTCAATACACTTATTCATTGTTGTACATCATATTTTTACATTGTACAGCTCTTCCCCGAGGAAATTGTGCTATGATATTAATACTGCATTAAAAACTGGATTTTTTAAATGTAAAAGACACCAAAAAAAAAAAAACTGAAAATAATCAACCAAATCAAATAATAAATATTTTCAATTTAACACACTGCTAAATGGGTTTACCCATGGATCTATTGTTTGTCAGTGTTTCATGTGACCTAAGAAAAACATGAATCTACAGGACCAACAATGGCACAAAATATCAGACAACAGAGCATTGTTCACTCTTCTTCTATTCTATCCCAATTACATTGGTTGAAGTAACAGTATAAATTACTTCTGAGAACTTCCATACAAAGACATTTCGAAATGTGGGGTAACACTTTAAAATAATGGTCTGTTGTTAACAAATAACTATGCAGTAAATAATAGGTAGTACCACATTAACACCGAACTTAATACTATTAACTAATATGGAAGCAATATTAACTGCAGTATGTAATAGCAAATTTAGGACAAAAGTAGTTCCTTATTAGGTATTCAGTAGTTACTAAATAAAAATATCCACATTGAGTGCTACTTGCTAACTATGATCAATTAATAAAGAAACCAATTAATTATTAACCACAACAGCAACGTGTCTAAAAGTAAACTATTGTCTTGTTTTAGACAATTATTATTTAGACATTATTTGCGGAAACGTATTTATGAATATTATATCCCCCCAAATAAGTTGGCTACAGGTTGAGATTGTGACTACTATACTCTTTCCAAAGAGTAGTTTTTGTCAAACTTAAACACAGAATAATAATAATAATAATAATAATGATAATAATTCATTTAAAATTTTAAATAATTATGAAGGGATGCTGACAAGCCCATGATTGGATTAGTTCACTATTATGAGCTGTATTCACTGTCGGTTCAACACTTCTCAGACTCCAAAACACCTACCTTTAGTGACAGTATCCTGGGAAAGACTTCTCTTTAGGATATGAATATAAACAATGATGGTCTCTTGTCAAAAACCATTTGCATCCTTAATGAAAATATTGACTGCATTGTGTTAAGCACAAAACAACATCTTCCAGATTACAATGTCTGTTAGAATATCACTAGGGCCTCACAGAAATGTATGGCTGTACAGTATGTGTCAGATATAAAATATATTAAATAACTTAATAAATTACTTGTGAAATCAATGTCAACCCCTCACTAAATACTCAAGCATTACCTTGTCAGCCCACAGGAACCAATAGTGGTCTGGACCATTATTTTAAAGTGAAAAACACGTTAACCTCTCACTAACTATTCACTACTCAACCTTGTCAGCCCACTTTAGTATTAGTGACGGGTTAAGTTGTTTAACTTGTTAACGTGTTTTTCACTTTAAAATAATGGTCCAGATCACTAGTAGTTCCTGCGGGCTGACAAGGTAACACTTGAGTAATTAGTGAGGGGTTGACATCAAAGTAATTTAATAAGTTTTTAGAAATGTTACTGTTGTGATTAGTAATTCATTGGTTATACTTTATTAACTGGCCATAGTTAGCAAGTAGTTCTTAATGAGGATATTTTTTTTTAGTAATTACTGAATATCTAATAAGGAACTACCTTTGTCCTAAATTTGCTATTACTTCCCGCTTAGTTAATCTTGCTTCCATATTAGTTAGTAGTATTAAGCTCAGTGTTAATGTACTGTAGTACTAACTATTACTTCCTGTATAGTTACTTGTTAACAACGGACCACTCAAAGAGTGAGGCAACACATCTTGAGAGGTCATTCAGCAGACCACTCTTCAAAAAAGGTACTTTGCAATGCTGTTTTAAACTTGCACATGCAATGTTATGAATTATAACTCTTTTTTTAATCTTAGTATTCCTTCTTAGGAGTCTCTACATCTCTCGGGGGAGAAAAAATCAAGCATATTTTAGGGCTAAAGGTAATTTTTTTTTTACCCAATAAGAGACAGGTCCACATTAGGAAACAAATGCAACAATTAAGTTCATTTCTTTTTCTCTATGAGAAATACCACTTAGGAAGTTCAATAAATTCAAGTAAATCAGATGATTTGTGCAATATAGCCCCTGTGAAATGAAAATACATGTCTGAAATAACCCAAAACTGTTTAAAACAGGCAAATGTTTACAACTGAAAGCTTAAATACCAGCAGGCACCAAAGTGAGTAAATTAAAGTATTTTCACTGCAGTTAAAGACTGTATGCCTTTACATTTTGCTGTTCAAACAGTTTAAGCACATAAGCTACTACAAATAAATTAAATCTGACAATACCTTAAATAGAAGTGCTTGTAGCTGGTTTATTTTCCCTTTTGAACTATAGAATTGGGCAGTGTTGCCCACACCTGAGATTTAGACCCTCCCTCGACTCCTCCTCTTGTACTCTCCGACTGTCTTGACTTTGAGATCTGTTAGTACCAGATCCCGACCCCTCCTGAGGATGAACTTTCCCATCAGGCAGTTTGAACTCAACAGATGCGAATGAAGACATACTTCCATTTTTCTTTGCCCACATTTTAGAGGACTCACCCATCGGAGATACCTTAAGTTTCTTGTTTCTCCTGGCGTTCCCTCCACCGTTGCCATTATTGACACTTTGGGCATCCAAGAGAGGATCAGAGTCACTGTTATGTGCCATATTGAAGTACGTACACTTCGGTGTAGGGGGTTTAGCCATGTCCTCCAGCTCAGAAGAGGATATTACAGCCAGAGGCGAGGCTTGGTTCTCACAATATGGGTAGGCTGAATCCTCACTTCTGTTGTCCTGCGCCGTGTCAGCTGATGTGGTGTCTCCATTTCCGTACATTCCCATAGTTGCAGGAGGAGAGTTACGGATGAGGTGGTTTTCCTTGAGAAGCCACCTGCCTTTATCAATCAGCACTCCCTCTCCAGAGTCCACGTTGTCTTTTAAAGCCATGCACTGTACCGACTCAGAGTCTCTGTCAAGTGAACTGTTATCGCTTGGCGATCTACTGTGGGATACTGTCTCTTGGATTGCGCTTTTTGTATCCTGAAAAGAAGCAAGACTGCTGCTTTTTAAACTTGGACTGGGAGTGGGTTTTGTTGTCATCCATGTGGACGATTTCATCAAGCTGTTTTCTTTTACATGGTTTATTCTTTTTGGCTTCTCTGAACTTCGTTTTATGATTTCTCGAAAGATACGTAACCTCTCCGCCTCCTCTTCTCCACTCTCGGTAAAAAGCTCCTGCGACTGGTACCCACCATTGTCGGATGTCTCAGGCCTATAATCAGACAAATCTGATGTATTTGGGCTCGGGAGACATTTTTGACCATATTGATTATCTATCTTTTGGCAAGCCATAAACATCTCCTTCATTTTGTGTTTGTCTGGCTCTATTCTGAGGTTGCCATTTGAATCACATGTGACAGTCAGGGTAGAGGACAGCAAAGCCGAATTAATTAGGTCTAGCAGCTCTTGTGAGATCTCAGTTGGATGTAGTAGATAATGATAGCCATGCTCCATACCTAAACTCTCAGCTTTCACAAACTGGTGCTCACTTGTACTAATACTGCCGCATGACTCCCCTTCCACAGAATCTTTATTATCGGTACAAGAGTGTCTAACACTATTCACACTATCATAAGAATCAAGCGAACCCAAGTCTTTCTCTTCTACATCACATTCTTCAGCAGAACTGTCCTTTTTAGTGAGACTACCTTCCTCTAATGTCTGGACTTTGCAGGGTTCGGAATCACTTGTGTTTGGCTTTGTTTCTGTCACATCCTCATCCGCAACCTCAGGATCAGAGATTGTACAAGAGTCTGGTTCAGCATCTGGATCTACTCGTTCACAAACTTCTGAGTTCTCATGGTCCACTTCATTAATGGCATGTTCTTCCACAAGCCCATTTTCAATTTGTTGTGTTTTCTCGTATTCAGCTTCAGGAGTCATACTATTTTCATCATTACTACCATATTGAGGGCTGCTGTTGCAGTGTGGATCAGGATTCTCACCCTCTGAGATCTCTGGCGCATCTTCTTGTTGATCTTCATCTTTGACATCAGGAGACATCACCTGATCATCTTCTTGGCTGGATGATTCTAATGTTTGCTCTCTACATTCACCCTCTGTATCACGATGAGGTGATGATGTCTCTGAGTGAATGGAAATACATTCTGATGAGATGGACTTGTTTTCTTCTTCATGTCCTCCATCACTAATTGTTTCCTCAAAATCAGAAAGTTCAGCTTCCTCTCTGACACGGTCCTCAACTGTATTGTGCTGATTGTCCTCATTTAGCTCAGCTGCCTCTCTGTCGGAAAATGGCACACACTCAGTTTCTGATGCTGAACATGAGCGTTTGCCATTTGTGTCGTCGGGTTCTGAAGCATCTGATTGTTCGCTAGTTACCCTGATGTTCTGAATGATGTCCTCCTCTACATCAGTGTCTCGTTCTTCTATAATCTCTGGCGTTACATTGTCCTCTCTTTCACAAATATTGTCTTGGTTATCAGAGAGCTCAGAAACTTCTTCTACAGCTACATCTGTTATTTTTTGTTCTGATGTTGGAGAACGATTTCCTTCACTATCTTTGTTTTCAGATTCAGAGTCTTCATGCATTACCCTTTCTTGCATGTTCTCTGCATTCATCTGGTTGTTATCAGAAGTTTCTAAAACCTCTGCTTTACTTGAATCACTACCATTACCCTCAGGTGATTGAATGGGCACTGCTATACCAGAATCTTCATTACCCATGTCCTCTTCTATAGTTTCTGAGTCAGGGGAATGAGCTTGAATTAAACACAATTCCTGAGATTCTGCTTCCATTTGATCATTGGTTATGTCATCATTGGTTTTGTCATTGTCTTGGTCGATATTCTCCTTTTCCTCTTCCATGTCAGCAGCTTTCTCTAAACTACCACTTAAGGAGCCATCTTCATTTTCCTGTTCTTTACCTGAAATTTCACTGATGGTGCCATCATGTTTGATTACGTCTTCTTGATTAAAATACTGTAGTTCTCCTTCAACAAGAGAGAAAATCTCTCTGTGAAGATCTTCAGGCATGTTCAGTTCATCCAGTAACTGTTCTATGCTAAAACTGCACTGTTTGT